ACCCTCTGCCAGATCTGCACTAGCTTTCTCTTCCACAACTAGGAAATAAAAAAGGATCGCAGTTGCTGAGAAAAGGGACCAAAGGAGGAGAGGAGGAGCAGGTGGTGGCAGGGCAGCATCCATTTTCCTTGCTGAGACCTCTCCTCATACCTCAACAAAGATTGGGGGGGGGGGAAGTGTGCAAGCTCCAGCTTCATTCTCCAACAGCAGCCTTGTATGTATACATATGAGTGAGAGAGGGGAGCTCACTGTCAGAAGGAAAATCACTGCAAGAGGCTGATTCATAAGACCTTGGAGGTGGGCTTGGCCTTTGTGACTTCAGCTACATGAAAGGCATGACCGCCTACACTTCTTACTGATGAATAGCTTCTTTTTTCCCTTCAGTTAGAAGCAATGCTATGGATAAAAAAGCCTAGAATATTTCATGTTCTTGCATTTGATGCCAATCTGGGACTATAAGCCAGGAATGGACAGGCATAACTTTTGTGTTATAGCACAGGCTGAAACAGAAGGCTGTCACCCCATATCAAGCACCAGGCAGGCCACCCACCATGCATGCCCTGTACGGCTGTACTTGGTTCAGTGAAGCCTAAGCTGTTCAAGGCTGCCCAACACTCACCAACAGGCCACAAATGTGTGAGCCGAGTTCTAAGAAAAGGGTATCAAGAAAGCTTGGGGGGGGGTATAAAAGAGTAGCTGTCTTTTTGCCCTGGAAACTGTAAGCCATTACACAACTCGAAACACAGGAACTGCTCCCGTAGTTTCCCAGTGACTTCTTCCTCTTGTTTCTTTCTGCCCAATGAGGCCACAGGCATGATGATCTCATACAAAGGGTGTTGCTTTCCCAGTATCAGTCATGACACTTTATGATGACATCTGCAACTTGCGGCCCTCCAGATTATGGCAGCCTGCCCACTAAACGTTGGGAGAAAGTGTCCCATCCCCAGTGGCATTTGTTGGGCTCTTGCCAGACAAGATGTATGCTGGGTTGTGAGTTGCATCCAACAGTGTACTGAGTGATACAAGGCTGCCACATAGGACTTGTCCAATGCAACCAGGAAACCGAGTGAGGAGAATGTATGCAAAAGCCTTCCAAGAAAGACTGGCTCAGCTCATCCTGCGCAATACCTGTTACACAGGAAGAGTGAAGTATGACCTTAGCTTTCACCATTACCTTTTCATTACCTTGTTTCAGCATGCCTTTCTGAACAGCTGGGTGTTCCAGAAGAGTTACCCCTTTTTAGTGAGATTAGGGGTTTTTTTTGTTGGAATTGTTTTGATTTTGCATTTCAGGAATAAAAAATGTAACTGCTTTTTGAATGCATGCTTCCTATTTGCACAAGATGCAGCATGCAGCACTGTCCCGTAGCAGGCACAAGAGGGATGGTGACTTTGTGGAGCAGAGCATACTTCCACCTAGTGGATCCAATAATGTTTGCCCAGAATAAATCTATTTTGGGGTGGTGGACTTCTCGGATTCCATTCGGCCACACGCATTACAATTCTAATCTTCCTTGATGCAGCAGTAATGGGATAAATGTTTGAATCAACGGTATGAACATTTTTGTAAAATGAGATCACTTGGTTCCAGGTAAGATCATAAGCTACAAGGAGTATCTCAAGATAGACTAAGTGGTGGTTGTGGGGCAGCTTTGCCTTCTAAATGATGAAGTTGCGTGTCATCCAGAATATTTTCTAAGGGATTTCAGTTTACAGTTTCTTTTTCTAGCTGCACAGCCTCTTAATTACCTTTTTATTTTTCTCTGTGATTATTAACTGTAATCATCCATTTTCTTTGTTTTTCTGATCTCTAGGCCACTGCTAATGAATTTCAGAAACAAATTATCAGCTGAAGAATCCAATGGTTGTTCAGATTATTCAAGAAAAAAAGTCCTTATCATTCTTTGATTCTAGCCTAATGAATTCAACTTGTATCCATCTATCATCACAGCCACCATCATCTTAGAACTTCAGAGCTAGAAGGGACCCTATGGGTTATCAAGTTCAGACTCTGTCAAGGAGGCACAGTGGGGAATCAAGCTCCCAACCTCTGGCTCCACAATCAGAAACTTAAGCCATGGAGCTATGACTAAAATGAAAATACCACACCTGTGAATTGCTAGGACGGCTGACTTATCTCAGAACCACCCAATGAGTAATGTGGAAGGAAGCACTAGGTGAAGTGTTAACAGTAGTTGCGGTCACATGTGTGGGATGGAGAAGACATAGATTGCGTTCTCTTTCTTTTCAAAGGCAGCTATCTGGGATGTGTTCTACGTAGTACATCCTAGCACCATGAATATGTCAAGGGTCTTTCTATAACTTGGCATCCTCATTAGGGAATTCCCTCCCCAGGAAGGCCCGTTTGCTTGTCCTTTTCTGATAATCAGAAACCTTACTTAATGGGGCTTTTGGGGTTGACATTTCAGATGGGCACAAATGGGAAAACTGGTGGTTCGTGATGGTTTCAATGAACCCCTGAAAAATGAGCTGTTGCACAATTAATTTTTCTGGTTTGTGCATTAGGGGGTGGACTACATGCTCCTGCCATCTCTGCCGCCACCTCCACCTCCTCCATCGCCACAGGTGCAGTGGCAGGCTCCTGGCAAAGAAGCTGGACCCGCTGCCTCTGAGTTTGGCACCTGAGGGGATGGGAAGAGCAGGTAGGTGAAGGTAGTGGGGCAGCTGGAAGAGGGCAGGCAAGCAGCAAATGAAACATCGCCGGGGAAAAGATCTGGCATTTCGTTTCACTTTGGCAAAACAGGATCCCCGTACTGGGTTATGAAACAAACTACAAACCAGCCCAGTTCGTCAGGTTTTTAGGTTCATGATTCATTTCATACCCATCTCTAGTTGACAGGGTTAAGGAAGCTCAGCATTGCCCTGCCTTTCCATGTGTAGTGGTCAGCCATGATATATTTCTATCCCTTTAATAAAACAAGAAGAAAAGAGACGAGGGAGAGCTATGTACGCTGGCTTGAGCTCACTGAGGACAGATGGGGTATAAATGTAGTTAGTGAATGAGGAATAAATAGTGCAATAATAAATATATGAAAAAGGAATCACAGCCTGTACAGTTCATGTTGTAAGTCTGTGTCTGCTTATTTGAATGTTGCCCATTCTGTTTGTGAGGATGGATAACTTCCATTTATCTGGCATTATTATTATTATTATTATTATTATTATTATT